AGAAAATCAGAGGGTTTCCAATTATCCTAACCCTAATACACTCCCCTATTTCTCATGATTTTGCTTCATCGATGTTCTGCACCGATGGGCGGAGAATATTGGCGTATCGATGAAATGCTTAAAGGCACTTTCCGCGATAAAATAAGGCTATGACCTTTCAAATGTGTCAGACGATCCGGAAGGAGATTGCGGAGGCTGCGCTACCTTTAGAAAGTGAAAATCGGCAAGAATTCCGCTTAAGCTAACCAATTAGGCCCATGGGCGCCCCTTAGGCCCATGCCGACCCCACCGGCTGCTAGCTACTAGCTAGTAGCCACTATGCTATCTCTCTCCATTCCGAATGGTGAGAGTGAGGTGATACGATAAAAGAGCTGATATCTTTATGATAACGACGAGTGGAAATTCGTACAAACATGCGTTTTCTTCATTGCATGCATGTACAAGTTGGGGTCGATATGGAATCCTATTTAGGGCATTTTCGGCTGTTTTTCTGCTGCTTTTCTCCGCTAATCAGATACCTAGCCCTTTTTCGTTCCTATGTGGGTTCCGTTACCCACAATCTGTGGTCGCGGGCTTTGCCTTTAAGGCGCATAGCGCGGAAGTCGTCCTTCTCGTGTCATGGCTTTATGCTAGGCATTTCTATACCCGTGAACCCGTAGATAGTCCACCACGCTCTCTACCTCAGTTTCGGCAATTCACTACTGAACATGGAGAATTACCTCTTTTGTTTTAGTTGTTCTTATGAGGATTCTCACAAAATGTGTCATACCATCAACTGTCATCGAAATTGAATTTTGAGCGAAGCACTGTTTGAGGTTAACTGCGAACTTACTATTTTGAATAAATTTCTTAGCGGGTGGAAGGAAACCAGTTGCATAGCCTGGCGACTCTCCCAGAGCAAGTACATTTCGAGTTCCTTCGTGGTAATATAAGATCTTATAGCGAGTGTTGTCGTCCATTAGTTTACCGCGGTTTTCGCCGCATGACTCTGCAAGGATCGAAAGTTGCATAGTAATCGTATAAGGAGGTATTTTCACGTGAAATTGTTTGCCTCAATATGTCTATACACTGAGGGTCGTTAGGTCGTTGCAGTAAAAGTCCAGCCATCTAATGTATGCGAGAACCAAAGTGGAGGGATGTACAAGTCATTACTGGCCTTTTTAAACGAAGCGTTTCCCCCAATAACCCACTTCCCAATGTCTTCTTCGATAAGCTCCCCGAGCCAAGGGCTCCTTCCATAGCTAGCAACCAAAGACGCTCGTGATATGGGTTCCGTAAAGACAATATCACGCGGCTGCCATGATTTGGCCTAAATTAACTTCTTGTAACTTAACTGTAACTCCAACTCTGTAACTGTAACTTCTGGTCATGACTCCTGCAGAGGAATGGTGGGGGGAGGGGTGAAGTGAAGGGGCGTGGATTGATGCCACCAGCTTTCGGGCTCAAGATGGTATGTTTGGTGGAGGAAATCATCCTGGGTATGCCCCAATCCACGTCTCCTCACACTCCGTCTCGTTTGCGAAGATCGTGACTGCACATAGGCTGGTGGCGATGTTGCTCATGCAGCATACACGATTGACCGTCAATGGTTCGCTGTGGTCTAGGACAATAATCAAACTAATTTCTATCAATGGACCACTTCAACTGGGCTCTGGGAAGATTCGCTCATCGGTATCATCGAGAAGAATGATGACAGGCTTGTTGGACACGGCATCTTTTGGAAGAAATCTATTAGAGAAGTCGTATCTTGTCTCTGGGGTAGGATGAGGGGGTCGTATTTGGCCATAGACAAATTTCTTCAAGATGCGAAAGAATCCGTCCAATACGCGCTCAATACCCCTACTCCTTCCCTGCTCCGTTCACATTTCAAGACAGTTTTGGGTGAAAACTGGTTGAAATTTGGAAAAATTGGTAAAGAGGTGAAAGTGTTTGCTAAGATGGTAGGTAGTCGTGCTGAAACGGCCTGTTCACCCATACCTCTGCTTCTTCCTGAACGGAGCGTGCTCTATTAATTCACAACTCTAAATGATAGCTCTTTTTATGCTTACACAGCATTCCAGAATGGAAAGCCGTAAGATGGCTAATGGGTGACAGTTTCACCGTCTTCGAGCGAGCATTGCGCTGTGTCATTCTTGTATCAACACCTCCTTCGATAAGAAGTATAAAACTTACGTGTGTCGTGATACGCTTCATATCCAGCGCATAGGCCGCAAAGGCTCAGCAGGAGGATCTGGAACTGGAAAGTTCGTTAGATAATATAGGAAGGGCTGTAACAGTCTAGAATCACACTTACCGTAAACATTGCCGCGAACGTTGCAGGATGTCCTGAGCGTATCCTGTCTGAAAGTGTGGTGCCTCATCAAGTTTGGCTTGTCTTTTATACGTGCACTGGACAATAGTATGTCTAGATCACACTATTAGATTTCAAATTGAAATATTGATTACAAGGTCCACATCACGGCAATACGTTTGCGATTGCGTAACTGCACTTTACTATTACATTTATTGCTGAAATACAGACTATCACATTCGCTTCAGCTCTGCGCTGACGCTGCAGAGGTTTGAGCGCTTGTTCTATTCAGAGCACATCACTGGTTTTGGGACGACTCCCTCTCTGGTTCCTTCCTCCGAGCTGTTGGGGAGGGTGGGGGTGCAGTAAACTGCTCACATGAAACGAAGCGCGAGGGAAA